CAAACTGGCGCAGCCCGATCGCCGTGGAAGAGCCGGAGACGTGGCTGACGTACGTACTGAACTTGGCGAACGCCACAGCATTGACCATTCCAGCGCAGATCGCCAAGGTCAAGCCGCTCACGTGCACGCCGATCTTCTCACTGTTGCTGCTGATGGCCTCGAGCACGGCAAGCCTATCCTGGAGCGCGGCGCGGAAATGGCGGCTGTCAAGCGCTTCGCCTATTGACCCCAAAGCCTCGTCGCTGATCATCAGTGACTCCGAGCGTTGCAACGTGCTGGGCATCTTCGCGTAGATGTGGGTCTGCTTCCACTCGCGAGCAAGCAAGTAGGACTTTGATCCACTGGATTGAGCTAGGCAACTTGAGCCAAAATGGCTTGGGCCAAAATGGCTACGGATTGAATAGTACCACCAGCCTTGTGGGCGGAGGTGGTTTGGCGCGTTTCCTTTTCCAACCTCGTAATTCTCCTTCGAGGAAGAGCATTTAACTGATCCTTGTTGGAAAACACCCACTCTCCCACTCGACCGACCGCTAACCAGGGTCAATTCTGACACTCGCCACCATACATCACTTTCAAAGAACTGTGCAAATTGCACTTTGCGGCAAAATCAGCATCAGACTCGAAAGACAGGGGGTAATGTTGCCTTTCTGTGGACAGGGGCAGCAGGGGGTGGGGGGGGCTCATATTACCCCGCGTGAGAAGCCTCACCATCCCTGCGAAAAACGAATGCGAAGCGCACGATGCGGCAAACAGTTCGCATTGACCCACCACCCAACTTAAAAACCAATTCAGAGTGTTCGTAGGTGCACGCACCAAACACCATACTGACACTCCGCCGCCACTTCGCATTGTCGTTTCATAGCGATGATAGGGGGGTCGCCATGTTTCCTGATGCGTACTGTCACATGTGCTGGCACACTCTGCGCACACAGCGTACGTGGCGCACCCAGCACCCAGCGCAGGTGGAGCGCGTGGCACACTTGGCGAATATGGAACCTGCGGTGCGCCTGGCACGCTTGGGTCCCTGGGGCGCCGTGCGCGTGCTGGGTACAAGAGGCGCACCCAGCACACGCGGCGCACCTCGAGAGCGTCGCGCACTTGGCGTCTGTATTGGTCCCCACTGGCTGTCAATTCCATGGGGGTCGTTGCCAATGCTGACACTTGGGTGAACGCTGTAAGGTGGGGCGGCGGGTGGGAGTGAGCGAGACGGCCGTCCTTCGGAACTGCCTCAAAAGGCTCCGCCAGGCCCCAAAACAACTCACAAGACACCCACAAGTCCCCAGATAGTGCCCAAGAAGCCCACGACGCCTCAACCGTGGACTCCCCGCCTCTTCTGGGGGTCGGCGGAATGGCGTAAGCCTCTTGCACAAGGTGGCCCAATGATCTGATGCCGTGATTTGTTCAATACGGGATCCCCTGAAATCTCGATCCATTCCCCAGAACCCGCTTTCATCCTGAGGCGTTTTCTGACGGCCCCGGGGCCCGTCGAGGGCCCCTGGAGGCCGAAAGCTACGAAAAACCTCCGCCTTGATGTTTGACCGTGCGCTGGATCGCTCTTGGGGGGGGGTGGGGCAGGGCGGGTGGGACTGCGCGAGGCGGCCGTCCTGCGGGAGGCAGCTGGGCCCCTCCCCCGTTGACCCCCTGCCCAGACTCTGGACGGTTCGCCCCAAGGGCAGCGTGAGCGCCCGAGGTGGCGTGGCCTACCAGACTGCTCCGCAGACCCCCAAGATGGTTCGGGGCAGCGCCCATGTGCCCCAGGAGATACCCCAAGATTGCTCCAGGTACCCCAAGATGGCCCAATTTCAATACGTTGGATCTGGGGAGGTGATTTGGTCGGGAACGGTCGGGAACGGTCGGGGAGGGGTGTTTTGGGGGGGGGGGATTGCTCCAAAAACCCAAAGATGGCTCAAGGTAGCGTCCAGCATGCTTCCAAAAGGCCTCAGGACCGTCCCACGACGGCACCGAGAGGCCACAGAGCCTCCCAAGGACGCCCTCGAGGGGCCAACATCCTCCCCAAACCTGCCAGAATCAAATGAAGCGTGCCTTCTCACCTTTTCGCTTCCTACTCCCCAATTAGGCTTGCCTAAGGGGCTCCTGCTTGGTGAAAGGTTGGTGCCTCGGGGGCTTACGTTGCCTGTTCTCTGGAGGTTCCTCGGGTTCCCCTGCTTCCTCGGGTTCCCCGCCCCGTTCCCCGGAGGTTCCTCGGGTTCCCCCAGTTCCTCGGGTTCCCCGCCCCCGGTGCCTCGTATTCTTACGTTGCCCGTTTCTCGGAGGTTCCTCGGGTTCCCCAGTTTCCTCGGGTTCCCCGCCCTGGTTGTTGGTCTTGTTTCCCAACAGTGCCCAGCAACGCCAGGCAACGTCAAGCAACGTCAAGCAACGCCATGCGGATCAAAGCAGCGCAAAGCAACGCCATGCAATGCCAAGCAACGCCAAGCAACGCCAAGCAATGCCTAGCAACGCCAAGCAATGCCAAGCAATGCCAAGAAATGCCTAGCAACGCCAAGCAATGCCAAGCTGTGTACAGCGACGCCAAGCAATGCCAAGCAACGCCAAGCAAAGTCAAGCAACGCCTAGCAACGCCAAGCAACCCAAAGCAACACCAGGCAACGTTAAGCAACGTCAAGCAACGCCAAGCGGATCAAAGTAGCGCAAAGCAACGCCATGCAGTGCCAAGCAACGCCAAGCAACGCCAAGCAATGCCTAGCAACGCCAAGCAATGCCAAGCAATGCCAAGCAATGCCAAGAAATGCCACGCAACGCCAAGCAATGCCAAGCTGTAGAAAGCTACGTCAATCAAAGTCAAGCAACGCCTAGCAACGCCAAGCAATGCCAAGCAACGCCAAGCAACGCAAAGCAACACCAAGTAATGCCACGCAACGCCAAGCAGCGTCAAGCAACACCAAGCAATGCCAAGCAACGCCAAGCAACGCAAAGCAACACCAAGTAATGCCACGCAACGCCAAGCAGCGTCAAGCAACACCAAGCAATGCCAAGCAACGCCAAGCAACGCCAAGCAGTGCCTAGCAACGCCAAGCAGTGCCAAGCAATGCCAAGCCTTGTCAAGCGACGCCAAGCAACACCAAGCAATGCAAAGCAATGCCAAGCAATGCAATACGGTGCAAAGCAAAGCAATGCAATGCCAAACAAAACTAAGCAACGCGGCTTAGGAAGTGCTCCAATAATTGGGGTCGCACCGGGTTCATGGGTTTTTGAGGCCTCACGATGGCTCCAAGATAGCCTGAGAGATCCAAGGAGTGGCCCACCCGAGCTCTAGCACGGCCCCAAAGCGCCCAAGAACGCTCCAATAGCGCCCCTGGAGGCGAGTCCTCCCGCTCTAGATGGGCAAGGCTGATCGGTGCCGCCCCCTTCGCTCAAACTCAAGATCATTGAACAACAAATGGCTTCTGCCATATTGTGGCATCTCGGGGGGCATCCTTGAGAGGCTGTTGGGCCAAAGTGGCTCCAGGATGGCGCCAGATATGTTAAGATGGCCTCCAAGATGGCGCACAAGATGATCCAAGATGGCTCAAGATGTCGTCCAGCATGCCTCCAAGAGGCTACAGGATCACCCCAAGACGGCTCCAATCGGCCACAGGGCGTCACAAGGAGACCTCCGAGAGGCCAACATCGTTCGAATCCTCGGGAAATTCAGTGATGTGTACTTTCTCGCAAATGACGTCCGATGGGCCACTGAGGCCTCAAGATGGCCACAAGATCGCCCAGGAGTGCCCCAAAACGGGCCCAGAAGAGGCCAAGGCAGCCCCAAGAGCACCTGAGAGCGCCCCAAGAGCGTCCTAAGAGCGCCCCAACAGGCGAGTTCTCGGGCGCCAGATGGGCGGAGGTACTTGACCCCCCCCCCCTTCGTTGGCCGATGTCCTCGACGATGGCCCCAAGAGGGCTCCAACGAGGGTCTCAATCGGGCCCCGAAAGCTCCAAACATGGCCGCTGGAGGTTCCCACAATGGCTGCAAGAAGCTTCGAGGAGGCTTCCAAGAGAAGCTTGGAGCGAAAGATCCGCCAAGGTCTTCATGGCTGACTCCTGCCGTCATCATCGTCCTCCTCCTCCTCGTCCTCCTTATCGTCCTCAACGTCGCCCCCTTCCTCCGCCATCCTCCTCCTTCTCCTTCTCCTCCTCCTCCTCCTTTTCCTCCTCCTCCTCCTCCTCCTCCTCCTCCTCCTCCTCCCTTCTTCTCTTCCTCATCATCCTCCTCTTCCTCCTCCTCCTCTTCCTCCCCCCTCCTCCTCCTCCTCCTCCTCCTCCTCCGCCTCCTCCGCCTCCTCCGCCTCATCCCTCCTTCTCCTCCTCCTCCTCCTCCCCCTCCTACTCCTCCTCCTACTTCTGGCCACCTCCTTCTTCCTCCTCCGCCTTGTCTTGCCACCTCCTTCTTCATCCTCCTCCTCATCCTCCCCTTCCTCCTTCTCCACTTCCTCCTCCGCCTCCTCCTGCGTCTTCGAAGGCATGCTCTCAGGAATTCCACTCCTAGGTGTGCTCATGCTGATGCCTAGCTTGGGCGTGAGGGCTGACTCACCTGTCGGTTCCACTGCATGCTCCTACACTTCCCTGATCAGGGCAACTTTCCTGGGTTTCGTTTCTGGATAGGCTGGTGGGGGTACGACAACTGTGAAGAATTTGCCATGGTGCTACGACGGGGACCTAAGTCAGGCTACGACGTCAGTACGGTACTAGGGTTAGGGGCTTAATTGTTCTTATTGAACAGCGGGCACCGACAAGGGCGGGCCGAAAATGAATGTTCGTCACAAGTGAGGGTTCAGCAACGGGGAGAAGTCCAGTTTGGATCTGCGTAAGGACCCTCTCCGCTGAACCTCCTAGGAGAGCAGGCAACAAAACATACACATCGGAGGACAGGGTTCTGGACAGGAGGCCATATAGAAAACAACTTGGAGGTCAACACCTCTGAAGTAAAGGCTTTGCGACATCTGTGGACGCTGAGGCTTGGTCGTTGGCCAAGTTCGCCAGGATGAAGGCCGACGGGTTCTTGC